TTTTTTTTTTTTTAGAGCTGTCAACAATCCTCCTGTAGTAGCAACTCCTTAACAATTGGTGGCAGTCATGTGCTTCTGAAGTTCCAGGGGCAAGCCTTCATTACAATAAGAGCATTCTGATGATGCTCCAAACTCATGTACAGACAGAGGGAGTAACCCACAAATACATGCATTCATAATGCATGCTTAACATGCATGCTTAACTACCGCCACACAGCAAGTACGATTTTGGCTGTTCTACAACTCTTCAAGCTATATGGTTCTATAAAATTCATTTATAACCCAACCTACCCTGGCTTTTGCCAAAATCTTAGCCTCTCCAGCTGGCTGTATCAAAGCATCCATGACACTGCAGAGATTTAGAGGATTGTGGGCAAAGAGATGGACACAGGATTCATTGAAGGAGGAAGATTATTTCCTTTTTTTTTTTTTTTTGCCTGTCCCATTTGGTTCTTTTGCCATCAGAATTATTTTCTAAGGGCGAGGAAAGATGCCCAATGGATTTACTTTACCAAATTGACCATCCCAGCCATGCCGTAATGGTCTATTTGATTCACCTTTTATTGTTTATTTTATTTTATTTTTTTACTTTCACTTGCTAGATACGGGACAGACTTGAATGAGGAAAAGAAAAGGGAGAAAGGAAGAGGGGGAAAAAACAGCGGTGAAGAGGGACGGGGATAAAGGGCAAAAAAAAACCACACGGGTGTTTGTGAGCACCCATGTGTACACCTGTGAGCATGGACGCGCTTGTTTTTAAAAGGTTCCTTCATGTAATGATCTGATAGAGGGTGTGGGGATCCACAGCCCCGTCCTCCAGGGCATGAAGCAGGTATGGAGGAGATCAAGACTCCAGACATCCAGAGGCCCCCAGAACACAAGAGACCAAAAGAGGGGCAGGTGCGCCACTATCCCAGAAAGAGCTGAGAAGAGTCCCAGATGAGAGGTCACTCGGCAGCTGCGGAGCAGAAGCCAGGGGGGGTTGCAGTGACGTGCCCGTGAGCTCCGCCGGCAGCCAGCTG